TTCCTCATCTTTGGCTTTGGTGGTTGGTGCATATATTTGAATAATAGTAGTATTAATGGGTCTTCCTTGTAGACATATGGATATTACCCTATTAATGATAGCATTGTACTACAGGACAGATCTTGAAACATCCTTTGTGATGATGAATGCCACACCATTCCTCTTCAATTTGTAGTAGTAGATCATATTTTTGTCTGATTCAAAATGGCCAAAACCTGTCCATTTCAGCTCACTAATACCTAGGATATCAATCTTTATGCGTTCCATTTCATTTTTTACAACTTCCAGTTTTCCTGGATTCATACTTCGGACATTCCATGTTCTGATTATTAATGGATGTTTACAGCTGTTTCTCCTCAATTTGAGTCATGTCACGTCAGCACATGTGGGTCCTGAAAGACTTACTTTATCTATATCATTAAGGTTGGTTCTACTCTGATGAAGCAGCTCTTTCCCAGTCCTATATTGAGTGCCTTCCAACCCAAGGGACTCATCTTCCTGCACTGTGTTGGACAGTGTTTCCAAGCTATTCATAAAGTTGGCCAGTAATGTATCAGACAGTGTTTCTCTGCTATTCATAAGGTTTTCCCTGGCCAATTTTTGAGAAGTGTATTGCCTCCTCCTTCTTCCTAGTCTGTTTTAGTCTGTAAGCTGCATTGAAACCTGTGCACCATGTGCAACTCTGCTGCCGTCTGAAACACCAGTGGCACAGCCTCAAGCTTCACAGCAACGTACAAGCCTCACAGGATGACAAACTGACAGACAAATTTGTCTCCCTTAGCTGTTGGAAGCCTCTGTGCCCTCCCTTTACCTAGTTCCTACCTGGAATCTGCCACTCTGTGGTCCCCAGCCACTCCCTCCTTTTCCTGGCTTTAGGGGACTTGGGATCTTCCTTGCCTCTGCCCCTTTTAACCTGGATATCCTGCTGCTTCTGAGGTCCCCGAGGCCCCTCCTGTTCTCTCCTGCTCAAGGTTGGCAGGCAGTATACTGGCTGTTGACTGCAATGAGTTACCATATACCTTTTTTTGAAGAAAAATAATCCAGCATAGCCACTTTTGTTTTGCTCTAAAGAGCTTCCATTATTTAAATTTTTACCTGTGAGGTGCTGCAGTGGTTAAGCCATTCACCTGCTAATGAAAAGGGTCGCTGGTTTGAACCCACCAGCCACATTCAAGAGAAGATGAGGCAGTCTGCTTCTGTGGCCAACTACCATAAAGATTTATAGTCTTGGAAACCTTATGGAGACATTTCTACTCTGTTCTATAGGGTCACTGTGAGTTGGAATCAACCTGATGGCAGTAGGTTTGATTTTTTATTTGTTATTTTAGGTTACTCAAAATATTTACTTCTAATATGCTCATTTTTTTCTTTCCTCTAAACTCAAGACGGTGCAGCATAAGCTAGCAGAACTAAAAACACAAATTTGTGTAACCAGGGCTTTTGTGGACAGCTGTCTCCAGCTGCATGCAACAAAACGTCTGGACTCTGCCACTGCTTCCATGGCAAAATATTGGTATGTGTGCTACAGTAATTAAAATGTGGTGTTTGCTCAGACTGTTATGGAATTCTGCCAACATTAAACTCAGCCTTGAGGGTCTTAGAGGGAGAAGGCTTTATAAATAAAATCAGTGAGAATCTTTTTTTAAAAAAATGCTGAAAGGTTCCATTAAGCTTATGTATAATATGCTAAAAATCACTGAAGTTGGTATTTAACTCTTGTTACAGAAAATAAATTATTAAGAGACTGAAGTAGGATGACTTATCAGTTCATTTAAGTAATAGTTTATTTCAAATTATCTGAAAAACAGTACTGGTATAGTGAGACAGAGAGAAAAACAGTAAAACCTACGAGTACTGAGATACAGTCTCAATTCTTTCATTAAATAACTATGATTTGGAGCAATTCCTTTAATTCTCTCTGGGCATACTTTTTGTTAACTGTGAAATGAGAGGATTGGGCAGGATTTTTCTATTTAAGGTGCTTTCCAGATCTAAGAGAAATCCCATGAAGAACTGATACACCAAAAGTTGCACCTACTCTATTAAGTGCAAGGAAGAAATCCTATTAAGTGTAGAAAAAAGGCTTTTAATTGAACTAAAGACTGATTAACAGTGGTGTTAAAGATGATTTAGTTGGAAAAAAAAAGATTTTTTGTGTATTTTAAAACGTAAGAGCATACAGTTTAAATAGGTTCAAGTAGGTTTAGTTTCCTCTTTAAAAAAAAAAAAATCCTCACATATCATTAGCTCAAAGTAACCTAGAAAAAAATTCCTGTCATTAATCATTAACTTGTGTTCATTTCAATCAGAAATAGAATAGGAAAAATATGCAGAACAGTGCTTTATAGAATGATTCTAAATAAAATTGTCAGGTTGAAAAGTGATGTGAAAATATTAGGCTCATGTATTTTTGTGGAACAGATTTTACATTTATATTTACAAGAAGTTCTTTAACTAGTGGGAAAAAAGGGTAATCAATATTTTAAAAAAGAGTGTTTTTTGAAAAAGAGATGTTTGTATAAGATTGACCTTATTCTTTGGAAATACCACGGTTATATACATACTGGCATTTCACATTAAAACAGAGGGAGCAACTAGTTACAGACCAGTAACTTTTTTCCTAAAATACTAGCCAAATCCAGAAATTTATAGAATTCCAAATGTTGCCCCCAGAGTCTTGCCTATTAATTGTTAACTACTATAGTTCTTAGGAATGTGCTCACTTGTCCTATGGCTTGAGTTAAAAAGTGATCTTAAATGGGGGATTATGTCTATGCTTACCCTCGTTTCATTTTTTAAGAAAATAAATTAAAGGTCCCCCCCCAAATGATAAAGTGAATCAAATGCCTGCCAGTTATCTTATGGATTTTAATGGTAGTTACAATTATAGTGGTAAAATCAGAAAATAAGTTTTCTCAAGTACCTCAAGTTGATATAAATGTACTTTATGATAATAATCCCCAATATTTTTTTTAATGTTTCCTATTTGATGACATGTACCATGATAATCTGTTCCCTTAGATTTTCACTTTTACTTTCAGTTTATTTCTTAAAAGTCAGAACCCAAAAATGGTTATATTTTTTTTTCTTTTGAAATTCAGAATTGTAACTTTGGGATAAGGAATGACATCTTTGGAGAAAAAAATATGTATTATAAAAGCAAAAAGAAATAGAAGACTGAGTAATCATACAATTAATTTGAATCATATAGATAATCTAAATAAATTAGGCCAAAGGTAAGTCTTTTCAAGCCTAGAATAGCCCAAAACATAGTAGTCTAAAGTGTCCATATTTTGCTTGTAACTTTAACAAAAGTTTAGCCAGAAATATAACTTGTAAAGAACATATTCTTTTCTGACAATTCTCCTGAGATTTATTTCAAATGTGATTTATATTATCTTCTCTGGCTAGATAATATGCTGTTTGAATTGCTTGATAAATGTGTGTTTAAACAATCATGTTGTTGTTGTTGTTGTTATGTGCCGTCGAGTCAGCCCTGACTCATAGCGACCCCTCCTTGGGTTTCCGAGGCAGTATCACTACAGAAGTAGGATT